TGAGTGACTTTATATGGCAATAGGGACTTTGCAGTTGTGAGTAAATTAAGGATTCTTGAGATGGAGAGATTATCCTGGGTTATGGAAGTGAGACCTGAATGTGATCATGAGGGCTCTTTTTTTTTTGGGGGGGAGGGTTAACCAGGAATTGAACTTGGCCACTGAGCCACAGCCCTAGCTCTATTTTATATTTTTTGTAGGGTTAGGGTCTTGCTGAGTTGCTGAGGCTGGCTTTGAACTCGTGATCCTCCTGTCTCAGCCTCCTGAGCTGCTGGGATTACAGGCGTGTGCCACCACACCTGGCTCACGAGAGCTCATGTAAGAGGTAGGCAAGAAGGTGATGAGAGCCTAAGTGACGGGGAAGGGCCACCAGGATGCAGGCAGCCTCCAGAAGCTGGAAGAGGCGCTGAAGGGGGGTCTCCCTGGAGTTTCCAGAAGGAACCAGCCCTGCCAACACCTTGCCCTTAGCCCAGTGAGATCGATTTTGAACTTCTGATCTCCAGAACTGTGAGAGAATAAATTTGTGCTGTCTTAAGACACTAAAGTGTGTGTTGATTCATTAAAGAAGCGATAGGAAACGAATATACCCTTTTACAATGATCCCTACCTCCGGCCCAGCACTCTTCCCAGCAACCACTAATGTCTTTCCCATCCCTAAAACATCATCGTTTCAAAGATGCTACATAAATGGAATCATGCAGGTGGTGACCTTTGGGAATTTGCCACCTCTGGCCTCTGGGCTGTTGGAGAGGATGGGGTGGAGGTGTGTGAGAGGACCAAGAAGGGCCCGTGGAGCCCAGCAGAGAGGTGCCCTGGGATGAAGCTATAGAAGCTGACCTGTGGCTGAGATGCCTAAGCAAGAGGAGGGGTGGGAGGGGTCTGTGGCATTTAGGGGATGGTGTTTAGGAGGATCCTGGCAAGGAGACCCAGCAGGACTGCCTTGGGAAGGTGAGTCCTCACAAGGAAGGGTTTGTGGGGCAGAAGCCACTGTGGCTGTGACACTTACTCGGATGCCGGGGTAGCCCTCTTGTACAAGCCACATTCTGCGGATCTGTCCCATTTCTGGTCCTGCTGTGAGGGCTTAGGTTCATCAGTCACCTACCTACCTGCTGGGAGATAGATACCACTGCATTCATTTCAGGTGGATTAGGGGTAAAGGTCACGCCCAAAGTCACTCAGAGGTGGTAATGAAACCTGGACTGTCCCTTGGAGCTGGACAAGTGAGAGATTGGAATGGTTGGCAGGGACGACAGGGACTGGGTGCCCAGGAGGAGGGCTGTGGGCTTTGAATTCCACCCTGGGGATGTCCTTGGTGGGGACAGCACTAGGGATGGGAGGGAGGGGGAGGAGGACTTCAGGGGACTGTTTGAAGAGAAGGAGCAGTCCAGAGGGCCAGAGAGGCTGGGGACGCAGGACCAGGGACAGGGAAAATCTGACCAGCAGGCGCCAGAGTCCAAGGAGCCTCGGTTTCCGCTCCTATAAAGAGTTACAATAACACAGATCGAGAGGCCTTAGAGGTCTTAGAGTGGACAGGTCCAGGGGACATGGCCAGCGGTGCCCCTAGTGGAGGACGCACTGTCACAAAAGGGCCCTTTCCTTTGCCCAGGTTTCCCTGTGAAGGAGGGAGTGGGTCTCCTGGGGCCCCTTTGCCCAGTCTCTGAGCTGCCCCACCCTCCCCGTCTCCTGGTGAGCAGTGGCCCAGTGATTCCAAACAAAGACATCAGGGAACCAGAACTAGAGCTATCAGAAGCCACACAGGCGGCTGCCAAGTCCCCGCCCCCCAACATACACACGCGCCCCTGGGCCTGCAAACACCCCCTGGCTCAGGCCCAGCAGGGGCCTTCTGGTGAGCGCCTCCCTGGAGCGCAGCCTGCTGGGACAGAGCTGTCAGGCACCTCCCCTCCCCCAGGGACGCCTTTGTCTTCGTCTTCTCTGCAAAGCAGCAGCAGGAGGTGGGCTTGGAAGAGGGAACCGAGGCTGTCCCTGCACCCAGGAAGCAGCCTCGAGAGGGAGGGGTGGCCGAGAGGGTGGCTGGACAGAGACGTCTTTCCTCAGCAGCCTCTGGAAGCTGAGTCAGCCCTGGCCCAGGGGAGGGGCAGCTCGCAGGACAGAGTTCATGGCCTTCCGGAAGGTGGTCAGAAAGGGCTTCGTGGAGGAGGTGGCCTTCGAGCTGTCCTGCAGGACAGTGGTCTAGGCAGGCAGAGATGAGGGAGAAAATCGTCCCCTGTGGAAAACCGCATGACCAACAGGAAAGGACTGGAACAACTCTGGGTCTGGGGACCCTGTGTGAGTGGCCCTCAGAGTGTCAGTGGACAGCTGGGGAAATGGGGCCCGCAGGATGGTAGACTCAGGGCTGAGGAGCGAGACCTTGGTCTCTTACCCAATGGGGAGCCAGGACGTATTTTGGAACAGGGGAGTGACTTTAATAAGGATGATGCCACTGATCACTGGAGCAGAGAATAGGATCAGCGGGTGAGGTGAAGGCAGGGACTCCAGCAGGAGATATCTGGTGGCCAGACTGGGCAGTGGCTGTTAGGGGGACACGTGTGCGCATGTGAAAACTCCTTTCAACAGATGGAAGAACTCATGGCTCATGGCACTGATGGCAAAAGGCTGAAGGAGAAGCCATCAGAGATGACCCCAGGGCCACCCACGCTGGGTCAGATAGACAGCGGGAGAGTGTGAGGAGGCCTTTACTGTGGTCCCGGGTGTGTCAGGGCGATGGCTTCGCTCTGGGCAAGCCTCTGTTGCCTTCTGTGTCCTTCCTGGTCTCCCAAGCACACGTGGGGCTTAGAGCAGGTGCCTGGGGCATGCTGCACGTGGCAGGGCTAGGTGCTGACCCAGCAGACCCAGGCTGACCTGGGAGGGACTTCCAGGAAAAGAGAAGGAGGCAGTGGTGGGTGGGAGCCAAGATGTGGAGCTACCAAGCTTCACAAGGTGGGTGAAGGGGAGCACCGTCCTTTCCCCTCAAGGGCCGTTCCCCCAGGGCCCTCTCCACCCCTCATTCCATCACCAGTGAGCACTGGCCCCGTGCCAAGGGGGTGGCAGAAGCATGGCAGCTTCCAGAAGCAGCCCTGTCCTTCAGAGGTCTCCAGCTAATGGGGGAGAATGGCGTGCCTGGGGGAGATGCCATTAAGACCCACAATGCCCAGTGCCATGAGACAGGGACAGGGTGACGGATCAGGGAACCCACTCTCAGGGAACTGAAGACAATGAAACAGGCTGGACGGAGGTGTAGGAGTTTACCCATGCAGCCCCGAGCCCAGGAGGACCTGGAGAGGGAGGAGGAGGACGGCGGAAGCAGCTCTGGGAAGGCGGGTCTGGGAGATGCGGTGACCAGGGCTCTGGCTGCAGGTGGGTGCTGCCCTGGAGGCAGCAAGAAAGGAGGGTGGGGAGGCAGAGGACGGCGAAGGGAAGCGGGGACGGCGGGGACGGCAGGGGAGGCATTGGAAGATGATGGAAGGTTTTCATAACGGACGAGCTGTGGTGGCTGCCGGGCCTAAGAGGTCAGAGGGTCCTGGCCACCCGCCTGCCAGGACCTCCCCGTTTACATTATGTCTGGTCCTGATCCTTTCTATTACATTTCCGGATCACCCACTCATAAATCCTCCTCCTGCCTGGGGCTGGGAGCCCTCGAACAGAGAGCAGCTCTGATTTACAGACAGGACTGGCAGGAAAGGGGGAGAAAGACGACCGGAGAAGAGCACGGGCTTCCCTGGGGGCAGCACTGTGATTAAAACACAGCCATTGCCCTTCCTGAGAGCCTTCCTGGAGCACGCTGGGAGGGCAAGATTGCTGACCGCCAACTGGGCACTGGTGCATGGGCCACACGTTACCCAGAACCAGGAGGAAGGGTCCCAACTCAGACGCACACCCATGGCTCCAGCCAGCTGTCCACAGAGGTCCCCAGCAATCCCCACCTGCTAGGAGCATGCGCCGTGTGACTCCTTCCCCTGGGCTGGAATGCTGAGGTGTCCAGGGTGTGACCTACTGACTTGTTTTCACCCAGGGGAGCTTAACCACCAAGCCACATCCCCAGCCCTTTTTTATGTTTTAATTAGAGACAGGGTCTCACTGAGTTGCTTAGGGCCTCGTTAAATTGCTGAGGCTGACTTTGAACTTGCTATCCTCCTGCCTCAGCCTCCCGAGCTGCTGCGATTATACAGGCATGCAGCACCGTGCCCAGCCCAGCAACACACCAAGACTTGCGTCTTAGCAACAATCATGCGAATGACATGAGCAGCAGATTCCCAGTCCAGCTATCACATGAACCCTGACTCAACTGACCTTTATTACAATCTCAGAGAGGCCACAAAGCAGAAGATATAGCTAAGTCCTGCCAGATCCCTGAGCTACAGAAACCGGAACATAATAAACATGTGTGTTTGAAGCCACCGAGTCTTTGGGTGATTGGGTACACAGCAACGGAAGATTCACACACCTGTGATGTGAGCTGGTCCACTCCTTGCTCGACTCTCCGTGTTCCCATCTGTATAAATGGGACAATAACACTCAGCCCAAGGGATTGAGTGACGGTCAGACACAATAGCAGAGGGCAAGAGCTCTGTAAACTGCTGTGTCCATGGGAAGCATTTTTTGTCACTATGACTACCTCCGTGAAGGGCTTGGGGAACACAGTTCTCATCTGACTTCTCAGTGGATAGGCCAGGTGGCCTGGGATAAGCCAAGTAAACCAGCCTGCCCTGGGTTTTCTCATCTGTAAAATGGGGCTATTGGGAGAACTAGAGGAAAATTCGAATTGCCCAGCATGTGCCTGGCACATAGTAGACTACTTAAAACCGAAACAAAACCTCCCCCTCAAAATGGCCCTCCGGATTCATACTCTTCTTACTACAGTTCTGACTCAGCTGGAGGGCCGGGCACCGTGAATGCTGGCTCTGCCCACCTCACAAGGGCCAGGACACAGCAGAAAGAACCCAGACCTGGGGGCTGGAAACCTGGATTGAGTCTCTGCTGCTGTGACAGCCAGATGTGTGATATTGGGCAGGCCCCTTCCTTCTCTGGGCTGGTCTGGCATGGAGCTAGTCTCCACCCCATGACGCCTGGCCACGGGAAGCGCTCTCCAGCTGGTACCCACGTCATGTGTGAGGATATTCTTTACAGAGCAGAGGAGGGCCCGGAGGAGGAAGAGCATGACCTTGAGGACCAGATCGTTCAACAAGGAGAGAAGACACAGGTACGAGAAAAGACCACATAGCAGAACCACAGGGTGGCATGGCTGGAGGGCATCCATGGCCATGGCAGCACTGAGATGCTCGGGGACAGTGACTCTCCTGTTTTGGGCCCTCGGGAGAGGGGTGCATATGAGGGTGGAAGGGGGGATAGAGCCTCGCTCGCAGGACCTGGAACGTCAGGTAGAGCCGCTCAGACTTCATCGTGAAGCAGGAGCATCCTGGGGAGCACTTGCGGGGTCCCAGTAACCTACTAAAAGGCCATGGCGAGGTGCTAGGGCAGAAGGACCACCCAGGGGACTGGGTCAAGGATCTTAGCTCTCGGCACAGGGTGTGAGTCACGTCCCACTCACCAGGCAGGAGCCTTGAGTAAGTCCTCACCTCTGTCATCTCAGTCCTGCCTCCTGGAAATGGGAGTGGCTGGTGACACTGACTCCATTCTAGGGCTGTGAGGACCCCCCCAAGAAGCATATGTTACGCCCTTGATGCCACATCTCTTCCATGCTACCCAACCACAGCACCCCCCTCAGCTTCCGGGACTTTCACCCCACTCAAGTTCCCCTCTGTCCCACCTTCCTTCTTTTCTGTTGTCTGTCTGTCTTTCTGATCCCAGCAGGGGTTTCTGATACATGCACAGAGCATCCCCGCATTCTTCAAAAGACGTGTTTGGAAACAAGAAATTGCTAGAGAGATGATTCAGGCCTTGGCCTCAGCTTGCGTCTGGACGTAAGCAGGCCCATCTGTGGAGGCTGCACTGCCAAATTCTGTCACTCTTGCTCCATATGGTCCGTGCTCCCCCTTCCCTCCCAGATCCCGCAGTCTGTGCCCGTCTCTCACTCCTCCTCAGCAGCTACACGGAGAATGGAGTGAGGGGCGTCTTTGCTCTGAGGAAGCGGGACTCTGTTCCCCTCCTTCCTTGCCTGGGACAAGTATGGGGGCCAAAGCTGGTGGTGGTGGGGGCTGTGCATAGGCTCTTCTGGACCCTCTCCCTTCTTGTCCACATGGAGCCGCAGTGTGGAGTCCCAGAGCTGAGAGGGACAAGGGAGGCTGTCAGCTTCTCTCTTCTCTCTACAGACAGTAGCACCCTGAGACGCTAGCTCTGTGAGTCACCTGTCCAATTCCTGGGTCCCAAGTCAATCTTTCAGTTGCATCCTCACCTGCAGGAAGTTTGAAGACCTCTTCTGTTCATGTCAAGCTGTGTGCCCTTGAGTTATCAATTAACCTCTTTAGTTGTCACCTGAGAGCCATCATTCCTGCCCTGTTCACTTCCTAGGTTGGTTGCTGAGGTCTAATATAATGATGATGCTGAAGGAGCGTTGTGAATGTAAAGCAGCAGGTCTCAAAGTGTGGTTTTGCTCAAGCTCCTGGTGTCTCTGACTCCCACCAACATTTAGAAGCTCTGGGAAGATGAACTCAAGGTCAAGACCAGCTTCCCTGCTTTCCGTATTGGCTCAGGGGTGGCCTCAAATGTACCAGGACCTGGGCCGCACATGGTCGCATAGACATTTCATGGCAAATGGGTGTTAAGTGTCAAGTGGTCTGCAAGATTTCTCACCTGAGAAAATCCACTTCTAAATAAACTTGAGAGATGTTCATGATCGTATTGAAAAAGCAGCTTCCCAAGAAGATTTAAACATGGGATGGCAAACTCAAAGCCTTCAGGAGCTTAGCAGGTGACGGGAATGTGGAGGGAAGCTGGGACAGGTGAGGGAGAGGCTGAGTCTGGCTGCAGCAGAGCCCAGGCCCCAGCAGCAGGCATGAGAAACAATGAGCCCTGTGCCGGCCAAGCCAAACACATATGTTAGACAGATCTGGTTCAAGGCCTGCCAGGTTATAACTGGTATAAATGCTGCGGGGAGGAGCTTGGTCTTAACAAGGCTGTGCCTTGGCCACAGACTTCATTGCTCTGGAAAAGAGTGGCATGCAGTTAATATTGCCAGGTTCAGCCTGGGCAAAAAAAAAAAAAAAAAAGAGAGAGAGATTTCATTAATTCATTTATTTATTCATTGATTTGTTCATTTATTAGTCCACATGAATCTTGTCCAGGTCCAGGGTAAGTTCTGTGGACCCAAAGCTGAATCAGACACTCCCTTGATCCTCTGGGAATCCTGTTGGGTCTGGGCATGGCAGGGGATGCTTCCAGCACACCCTTTCCCTGTGAACACCACTCACGGATAATGGGAAAGTGGCCCAGAGTCAGTTAAGCATAAAAATCACTCAGTTAAACAATGTGAAGTGTGCGGTACCCTGCAGGACTCCTCAGAGCCTTTACTATGGTAACATGCATCCAACATTAAGTGACCTCAAAGTGTCCAGGCCTGTCTGGGTTTCCTGATGGGCCTGGATGTTCCAGCTTAGATGGGGGGGGGTGGTGAATAAGCACACGTGGGACCCCTAAAGTTGTGTCTCAGTCAGGGATTTGGCTGCGTTCAAGTTTCGGGGCCTTCTTCCCAGGAGGCCTCCTGATGGGGACTGGGCCAAAGAGATAGCCACTCTCTTCTGGGTCTGCTGAGAAGCACAGAGGGAACCTTGCTCAAGGGTGGGATTCACTTTCTGTGGCAGTCAGAGGGACAAGGCTTTGATCCCCAGGCCTCTGGTCACATTTGCATTTGAGGAATTAGGCTGTGCTGTGCTGGGGAGGAGGGATCCCCAGAGGCTGAGAGCAGTCGGCATCCTGGGCAACAGGAATATTGAAACCCACTCCAAGTCCGTTTCTGGATTTTATTACCAAGAAAGGAGAAAGCGAGTCCTTGTATGCAAACAGGGTTTGATCTCTCTACAGCCTGTGAGCCCTGCTCGGCCTAAGAGCTCAGGAAAAGCCAGCCGGTGGTTTTATGACCTGCTGCGTTCACAGCCCAGACTGGCTCTGATTTCTATGAATAAAATTTAGAGGTTCAGGACAGATCTGAAAACCAATCACTCTGTCTTCCCCATCCTCCCCGCTCACTGTTGGTTCAGTCTCGCCGGCTGGCTCCCACTCTCCCTCGCCCCCTCTCTCCTCCCTCCCTTGCTCTCTCTAGGCTCTTCCTCTCTCTCTCTCTCTGCAGCATATGAAGTCAGTCTAGTTTGGGAATCGGCTTCTCTTTGTTCCGGTAATCCCCATAGCGAAAGGCAGTGGATTTTGTCCCTGGTCCAGGATAATCTTTCACAGAACTATGATAGGAACAGGTTCCTGGAGAAACAAAATACAAAACAAAACCCACTCCCTAGTCCTCCTGCAAAGCACAAATCACAGAGCTCATCTCCGAGGATGGACTTCTTGCACTCACAAAAATGGATTCCAGAACTGCCTACGTCAGGATTCTGTCCTGCTTACGTGAAGCTCCATTTTAGATGTGGACGTCGTGTCCCCACGGTGTCCCCAAAGAACAGGAAAGTCCCGATAGCTCGATGCATCAAGTTATATTTAAGAAAGACCTGGGGGTCGGAAAGTTGCTTTGGGAGAATTAAAAAAAGCTGGAAGTGAGGGAGGGGGAGACCTTTAAAACTTGCCTGTAAGCCCCGCCCCACCCCCAGCCATGTGCCCCACTGGCTCTCACCCATTTCCCCCTAAGAACTCACACCCCCGTGGTCCAGGAGGGGAAGGGACTTCCCTGCAACCAGCCCACAATCCAGGGCCCTCCTCGGCAGGCCTTCTGGTTTTAAGGCCAGTCCGTGGTACAGTGAGACAGATCCCAAGGATCTGGATATCTGGGAGCAGCAGGAGGAGAAGTTTGATTGGGAGGAAGAGCAGAAGGCGCCTGCTGCCGCCTGTCTCCGTGACAGAAGGGAAGGGGGCTCTCCCCGCAGACGGGCCTCGGGGATTTCTCTCCCTCACTTGGTCCTCAGTCCCTCTCCTTGGCAGCCCTCGGTCTGTCAGTTTGTGGGGGAGGCTCCAGCCAGAGTTGTGCTCCCAGACAGGGAAAAGCAGAGCTGGAAATCTCCTCCCAGCAGCTGGCAGGGCGAGGACCCAGGACCCCCAGCCCTGCAGGCCCAGGGCATCTGCTGGTGCCCACTGTAACGCACAGCCATGGCCTGCCGGCCGCTCCACCCCGAAGCAGGGCTGGCGTTTCTGTGGTGGTTGGAGATGATAATCCAGGGGGCTCTGGCTTCGGTCTGGCCAAGACCCCAGAGAACATGATGCGCAGGTCTTAGGTGGTGGCCGTCTGCCTCCCTCAGCCCCACCCTGGGCTGGGTCTGCAGGAGCATCTAGTGGGAGGCCTTTCTCTTGGTTGAGGTTAAATGGTTCTCATCCTGTGAACAACAAGCTCAGCACGGTCCCCAGCTTTCCCATAGATGAAAAGACAAAGCAAGTGGACTGTCTTGGTGAACACTGGAACACAGGGTCCAGGACAAAAGAGGTCACCGTCCCACCGTGGCCACAGCTAGGACTTCACGTTCCAGGTAGAACCGACACCAAGGCTCTAAGCGGGTCCTCAGGGCTGGAGGGTGGAGTGACGTCACCTGCTCCCACCCATCATCCGCTGTGACGGCTACTGCTTTTACATGGCTGACCTAATCCAGCATTTCCCAAAACATCTTTCCCTGTGGGATAGGTGTTAGGGAAGAGGAAGGTGTTTTCTATAGCAAAATGATATGGGAAAAGTTGTGTGAAAGAATTAGGTTTCTTTAATGGAATGACTTCTCAGAGCCTTTAATGTGCTCCTGTGAGTCTCGAAGAAGGGAGGAGGCAGCATTTCCCGACTCAGGGCCACAGGTCCAGGTTCCCACCAGAGCCCCTCCGGGGAGCAGGGCTTCCTGCAGCACATCATCGAAAAGGTGGATTTTTTTTACACCCTGCCTACTTCTGTAAGGACTGGCATTAACCCAAGAATTGAAAAAGAGGAAATCTCAGAACAAGGCTGCGGGGAGCCTGGTCAGCAAACTCCCACAGCTATGGAGCAAACCCTCAGTCACCGCAGAAAGGGAGGCACTGGGCTATCCGACAGCTATTATTTTGTGTTCCATGGGACATTTTCTCCCCTGGCCTCTTCTAAGTTATTCTCCCTCTAACCTGACTTGTTTATCACTTAAGATTAGATTTGGCTGCAAATAAAGACTCCACAATAAACCAGATAAAAGTATTTTTTTCTCTCACATAAAGCTGTATAGAGGAGGCAGTTCAAGGTTGGTAGGGAACAGACATGGCATCAGGGACCCAGGCTTGTTTGGTCTTGTTCTTCCTCTATATGTAGCCTCTATCATCAAAGCCACTTCATGGTACAGGATAGCTGCTGGAGCTCTAGCCATCATATCCACATGCCAAGTAATAACAAAGTAAGAGAGAAGAGAAAAGAGCAGTCTTTCCCTTTTAAGAGTTTCCAGGATATTTTTACTTACATCTCATTGATCAGAACTTGGACACGAGTTGGCCACACCTAATTGCAAGAGAGCCCAGGGAATGTGTTAACTGGATGACACGGTGCCCATCTCAGAAACAGAGGATCCAGCATGAAGGGGAGAATGGATATCAGGAGACTATTTTCACTCGGTCACACATCAAATCTAGACTGACAAATCTGAGTTTTTGGTTTTCAGCTGGCTGGATGGGAAGATTCCTTTTCTTCTACGGTTACTGAGCTGAAGAGTCTGGAGAGTTGGAAACGCTGACCCGCTCCTCCCCCAGCATTCAGAGAAACCCTCTGCAGATGGAGAGAACGAAACCAATATGCAGAGAGACACAGGGCGAGAGCTGGAGGACCGAGTGACAGAGGTGTCGATGGATGGATTGATCCCTGGCTCCCGTCACTGCTGAGCCCAGCCTGGCCCCTGCCCTCTCCCAGATGCATGAGCCAATAAATCCCCCTGCTGACTTGCACCACTTCAACTTGGGTTTCCATCACTGCCTATAAAGGAGCTCTGGCTACCAGAGCTATCGTCTTTCATTTCTGAGAGCGGGGACCACATGGATCACTGTTTTTGCAACGATAGTTCCCCTCACCCCGAACTAAGTCACAGAAGGAAAATTTGTTATTTGGTTTCCTATTGCAGAACACTGAATGGCTTACTTTTACTTTCAAGTGCCTGTATTAGCTCTTTACTCTTTTCAAAAATTCTTTTTTAAAAAATAAAAACGCATTAGATCATCTGAGTGTCACAATCCCCTCGAGATACAGTTTTATTTCTCCTGTCGTCTGGAGGAGGATGCTGAGGCTCAGGAAGGTGAACTATTTGTCACTAGAGCGGCTCAGGGGTGACAATACTCTCCGCCCAAGCACACGCCTCATCTAAAGATGAGGACACGTGACTCCAACTTGGAAGAGAACACACATTTTGTAGGGTAGATGGGCTCAGAAAGCCTGGCCTGGGGACAATTCTCCGAGCAGAGGACGACCGTTAGACCGTCTCAGGTCTACCAGTGGCTTATAGTAAGGCTTGTTGTTTTAGCCGGCTTTTTTGCTGCTGTGACTAAAAGACCTGATCAGAACAACTGTAAAGGGCTCCAGGTGCCAGAGATCTTCGTCCATAGAGGGCTGGCTTCATTCCTTGGGGCTCGAATTGAGGCTGAACATCATGGTGGAAGAGTATGGTGGGGGGAAGCAGCACACATCATGACCAGGAAGCAGAGAGAGAGGTCTCCACTTGCCAGATACAAATATACACCCCAAAGCCTCGCCCCAATGTCCACCTCCTCCAGCCCACACCCTATTACTTCAGTTGCCACTGAGTTGATCCCTATCTGGGGATTAATTCACTAACGGGGTTAAGAGTCTTATAACCCAATCATTTCTCCTCTGAAGCTTCTTCTCACATGTGAGCTTTTGGGGGACCCCTCACATCTAAACCATAACACTCGTGCAGGTGCTGTTTGCCATTGATTCACAAACTCATGCCTGCATCTTGCAACAAGATGCCCCAGCAAGGACTTGGGTGCAGGGGGTGAAGGGACATCTTCCTTGTTGGTACCTGGGCTGATGAGAACCAGTGTCTCTGGATGATGAGAAACTTAGAAGTCAGTCTGCACCCTCAGCTGGTGCCCATGTCCTTCACTAGAGAATCTGGGTCCTTTAGGAGTTGGGGAGGACTCTTTAGTTTGGCTCAGGCTTATCGCAAGAGTCACCGACTCCATCTGAGTTCCCCCATTGCAAGCAAAAATCTATTTTAAAGAATCTATTGGAAGGATAATTGGGTTTACAGAATTAATGGGAAGCTAGAGGAACGTGTTTGGAAAACGAGCAGGCATGGAGCAGCTGCAGAAGGTCATGAAGCAGGGTAGAGGACTCAGTCTCAGTCTGGCCAGGGATGTCTGTCCATGGATGGATCCCTGCCAATGACCTTCATCATTATATGGTCCA